TTTCATTTGATGCAGAAAAAGCATTTACAAAAGTCAGCACCCTTTCATAAAAACACTCAGAAAACTAGAAAAAGAAGGAAACTAAATAAAAACCATATGTGAAAAAGTCATAGTGAATATCATATTCAATGGAGAAAGTGTTTCCTCTAAAATCAGGAATAAGGCAAGGATGCCCACTTTTGCCACTTCTATGCAACATAATACTGGAAGTTCTAGCAGAAAGAAGTAAAAGGCATCCTAATTGGAGAGGATGAAATAAAATTATCTGTCTTCACAGATAATTGGATCTTATATGTAGAAAACTCTAAAGATTCCACACACAAAAATTGTTAGAATAAATGAATTCAGCAAAGTAATAGGATACAAAGTTAACATGCAAAAACCAGTTGCATTTCTATACACTAACAATGAACCTGAAAAGGAAATTAATGAAACAATTTCAGCCCTAGCTGGTTTGGCTCAGTGGATAGAGCATCGGCCTGCAGACTGAAGGGTTCCAGGTTCGATCCTGGGCAAGGGCACATGCCCGGGTTGCGGGCTTGATCCCCAGTGTGGGACATGCAGGAGGCAGCCGATCAATGATTCTCATCATTGATGTTTTTATCTCTCTCCCTTCTCTCTGAAATCAATAAAAAAAAATTCCTTTACAGTGGCATAAATACAATAATAAAATATTTAGAAATTAACCAAGGAAGTTAATCCAAAGATTATGACTCTCCAATAAGAATATGCCCACCAGACAGACTGGATGGAGCACTGCATAGAGTCCTCACAAAGATATTGGTTCTGTAATGGGGCCAAAACAGCAGCCCTAGGTAAAGACTGTTTTGGACCTAACAGCTTAAAAGCAAGCTTCGAAAGCAGCAGTGTCCAATAGAACTATTTTCAATGGTTATCCAATATAGTAGCCAGTAGCTGCGTGTGTACATTTGAAATGTACATAATACAAACGAGGAACTACAGTTTAACTTTTACTTAATTTTATTAACATAAATTCAAATAGGCATTTGTAGCTAGTGGTCCCTATTTTTGACAGGGCAGCTCTAAAGGATCAAACTGTTTCTAAGTAAACTTAGCATCTCAGAACAAAGCCTAAATATACTTAAAGAAACACAAAAACCTCCAGCACCTAACAATGTAAAATCTGCAATGTCTGGTAGGCAATAAAAAGTTATGAGCTATGGAAACAAGTATAAAAATATGAATGATAAATAGGAGAGAAGAATTAGTTGACAGAAGCATACCTAGGAATGACACAAATGATAGAATTACTATGCAAGGACCTTGACAGCTATGTTAATATATATTCCACATTTCCAAGAAGGTAGAGCAAAGCGTGAGCATGGTGAGGTAAGAAATGGAAGTTACTAAATGAAAATACACTTGATGTGAAAAAAATCCCATGTGGATGGGATTAACACCACCAAAGGAGAATAGTGAACTTGAATATATATCATAGAAACTATCTAATTAAAAAATAATACACAGAGCACCAAGCAGCTTAACATATGTGCAATTGGAGCCTCCATTTTTTTTTAGGCAAGCAGGGGTCGAAACAAAAAAAGGCAACATATCGATTTTTCTTAGTAAAGTTTGTGAAATGATAGAGAAACGAAGGGAATAGAAAACTCAGACCTTAGCACTTCAGTCAGAAGGAAGAGCGCAGAGGTACTATGAAAGGGTTAACTGGGGCAGGATGCAGCACTGACCACTCTGGCTTTTCATTGAGGAAAGAACATTTTTACTTTCTTGGGCTGGGGAAGAAATTAATAGTCCTTAATATTTTTTTTTTTTAAAAAAGGAAAATCTACACTTCCTGGTTTGACCACAAAGTGATCTTTTCCCTACATTATTTCCTTAATTAGGTATAATTATATTTCAGAGGAAATGTACCTCTTGGGACCTCTGACTTCTTTATCTAAAATAGCAGCAACACTCAATTTAATTTTTTAGTATCCTGCTATACTTACAAAGTATACGATATGGCAAAATAAATGCTACAAAATATGAGAAAATGTAACAGCACGCATAATGACGAAAAAAGCCAGGGCAGAGAATGGAAAAATATATGGCACTTATATTTAAATGTACTTCTATGAAGAAATTTGTTCTAACATAAAATTTGTTTATGCTCTGCAATAATTTATATTGGAAAGAAATGAGTACTTACCCGGCAAAAACAGGAACGGTTAGTCTCTTCAAATGTGAGGTTACTTTTGAAATACACAGGCGAATACTAAATCAAGAGAATCAGAGCACAGCTTTAAAAACCTAGTTATCTATTCCATCTGTGAAAAAGACAGGGAGATAAAGCCACCATTAAAGTTCAGAAACCTGCGGGTTATTTGAGAAAGGTGGGGCATATTAAACATCAAGGAACATAAAGACATTTTTTTTTTCAAGCTGGGCTCCTGATTCAACCCTGCCTGGACCGTGCCAGGCTGAGCGGGGGCCGCGGTCTGCAGGGCTCCCCAGGCTGCAGGCCACCGGTGCTCACCCAACAGCCGGCCCTTTCCCTGGTGCCGCTTCAGGACCCGACCTGGGAGGCTTCCCGAAACCACCGACTGCGGCAGGAGCGCGCTAACCTCACAGCGCCCAAGAGCAGCTCTGGGGAGTAACGAATTCACTGAACGTGGGTCCCCAACGGTGCTTGATCTCCGGGAAAAGCGGCTCAGAGGTGTAGCATCAAAGAAGCAGGTGTTCCAGAGCTTTGGAAGGTGGCGGAAGGACGCACAGGCCTGCGCATGCGCGTCCCTTCCAGCGCGGCGGCCGCAGCAAGTACAGAATTAACTTTGAGTGCCAACCAATATCCTAGGAACTATGCTAAAATTGCCAAGGCATTTTTGCTGATCTTACAGCAGTTTAGGAAAAAAAATTATGAATCGCAAGTAAATGAAGTTACATATTCAATTTTAGAACTGCAAACATTCGGCATCATGAGTAATCTGCACTTAGGTGCCATCTGTCAATAAAGAGTGAACTACTAGCATCTAATAGTGAC